CGTACAGGTAATTATTAACGACAGCGAACTCTCGTGTTCCTTCGCGCTGCTTACATAATAACTATAAGAGGAAATCGAACGAAATAAAAGGGCGAAACCGTGTTCGCGCGAGAGTTCGCGAAAATTTCGAAAACACCGGATTAGCGGACCACCGCCGCGTCACAGCGACGAAGAACGGGGAAATCCGATTTCCGTTAAAAAAAACAAGCGCGGGGAACGAAAATAAATTCATGGATTCGAAATCATTTTTTTGGGGGGACGCGAAGTCAAAGGCGATTTGTAGCGACCACCGAACAGAAAGTAAACATTGGTCTTTTGGACGCTGCAAATATATCATCGACAGTGGGAAATAAAGTCCACGATGAAAATTTGAAAATTGTCTATCGTCTCGATTAGCAAATGGTGAAATATTTTCCAAAGGTCCCGGTTCGCGTAAAAAAAGATTTCTCTCGCGGGCCGTGTTCCTTTGAGAGCCGGCCTAGCGTGATTCTTTGAAAGCGCGCCACCGTGGAACCTGATAAAAACTCCTCGACGATGATACCCCGCGGGCAAAAGGTCAAGCTGTTCCCGTGAAATTGCAAAAACTCGAAAGGCGAAGCGGAGAAGAGAGAGAGAATTGATTCTCTGGTTGGGCAAAAAAATACACTCGATCGATTCCGTGCTCGTTACACCCTTCTTTCTCGCTGTCGAGATAGAGTCAACCAGAAACGTTGCTCGATCATTGTCCCGTAGATACGATTTCTTTGCTGCACTGACATTCGAAACGTAAAACGATCAATAAAATTGTTATTTAACTATCCAAAAAACGTTAATAATATCGATGATAGAAGAAAATCCAGTATCCAGAATATGCTTCGAGTGAAACAAAGACGGACGATAGATTCGACGGAGAACGGTGGATTAGTTATTTGCACGGCTAATAGAATTTCTTACAGTTGTCGTTATGGAAGGAATGAAATTTCCACGTTGCGTCGAAGACCGTGTCGGGGAAGAACCGAGATTGCAGTTCTGCTCGTGAATGATGCAGGCTTATATCGCAATAGAGCGACGCGCGTAACGAGAAAGTAGCTTCGTTCCCCTCTGTAAACGTCCACGCTTTGTCGGAGAATCAGACTACCGGCAAACAAACCACGACCGCTTACGTCAAACTCAATTAGAACTTCGACGCGAATAAATCGCGCACCGCGGCTCTCGAAAGGATTTTCACGGGAAATTATCCGCGAACAAGTTCATTGTTCCAGCTAAATATTTGGGGAACAATTATGTCGTAACGGGTCGGCTCGAGCAACGTTATAATTAATTTCCTCGTTATTTTCTACGGCATATAAATAAAAGTGGAAGCGTATCGACACGCTTCGATCAATAGTATTTTTCTGCGTTTCGTATCGCTTCGAACGACGTTACTTTGGAAACTGATGAAAATCACGTGGATTTCTAGTAAAATTTGTAAACAAATTTACCGTAATCAATTCAATTTGGTACAAATAAATCCACCCTAATTGTGGGTGGTTCTAGCGTTAATAATGTAACGAACAGCAGGATTTGAAGACAGTTTCCAACGCGATAGGGGTGCAGAGATAATGTAAACGATGTTACTTTGGAAACTGATGAAAACCTCGTGGATTTCTATAGTAAAACTTGCAAAAAATTTATAGTAATTCTTATTTCGCGTATCCATCGTTTCAATTTGGTACGAATAAATCCACCCTAATTGAGGGTAGTTCTAGCGTTAATGATGTAACGAACAGCAGGATTAGAAGACAGTTTTAAACGCGATAGGGGTGCAGAGATAATGTAAACGATGTTAGTTTGGAAACTGATGAAAATCTCGTGGATTTCTATAGTAAAATTTGTAAAAAATTTACAATAATTCTTATTTCGCGTATCCATCGTTTCAATTTGGTACGAATAAATCCACCCTAATTGAGGGTAGTTCTAGCGTTAATAATGTAACGAACAGCAGGATTTGAAGACAGTTTTAAACGCGATAGGGGTGCAGAGATAATGTGAACGATGTTAGTTTGGAAACTGATGAAAACCACTTGGATTTCTAGTAAAATTTGTACAAAATTTATTGTAATCCTTATTTCGCGTATCTATCGTTTCAATATGGTACGAATAAATCCACCCTAATTGAGGGTAGTTCTAGCGTTAATGATGTAACGAACAGCAGGATTTGAAGAGAGTTCTCGACGCGATACGGGTGCAGAGATAACGTGTCGGTTTAGCTGAAGCCGTACTCGGGCAAAAGTGTCTGTAAAGAGCACTTGCCCGCTCGAGAAGTTCCTCCCCTCTTTTACATTTTCGCTTCAAGCGTCGACTACCTTAGCCACGCGTTTAAAGTTATGACAATGAGCTGCCGATCCCCCGACAGCCTTCTCGCCGCCAGTGAAACGTATTTGCCTTTCACCGGTCCCGTTCTTAAATTTATTTTCTTATTCCCGGGAGCCCCGAGCGACCCTTTGTCCGCGTGTTCTTTGCCTTTGAGCAAACAAGAAACGAACACGCGCGGAGGCACAGTGGATTCACCCCTTTCATGCACAGACCAGATCCCGGTACAACTAAATGAAATTCGTTACACCGTGGATACTGTTTCTATCAAAGCAGTTACAAATAGGATGTTTCATAATTTTAACTTGAAAATTATATTGTCATTCGATAAAAAACTATTGTTAAACTCTCAGAGCGTTGGTAATCCGTTCAACCCCTCGACAATTTAATTCCAAATAATTTTTCAAACTTATACTAGATTTAATTTTGTTTAAATTAGCTCGTACAAGGAAAAATAGTTGATTTTAATATAGAGGGTGTTCGGACAACCCTGGGAAAAATTTTAATGGGGGATTCTAGAGGCCAAAATAAGACGAAAATCAAGAATAGCAATTTGTTGGTGGAGGCTTCGTTAAAAAGTTATTAACGTTTAAAGTTCCATTCGTACTGAATTTTTTTCTAGAAAGTGGGTAGGATTTCGGGGGTATGTCTATTCACCAAAAATGACTATAATTGACCCCTGAAACTGAAAATAATTTTTCCAGAACGATTTGAAAATTTTTTTTTCCCCCGAAAAATTTCACATCTTCTCGAATTTTTTTCTCGAAAATGGGTAGGATTTCGGGGGTATGTCTATTCACCAAAAATGACTATAATTGACCCCTGCAACTGAAAATAATTTTTCCAGAGTGATTTGAAATTTTTCTTTTTCACCGAAAAAATTAGGCACCTACCCCCTGTCGATTTTTCTTAAAAATTTGTATGATGCCATACGGAAATGTTGCCTAATACTTTTTTGTAGCTACCCATGGGTTCTATTTTAGAAAAAAATTTCAATCCAATCTATTCACTATTGTAGAAGTTATGGCCGTTTGAAGATTGGTCGATTTTTATGGGGTTTTTTCTCTCTTTACGGGGTCAAGGAGCAACGTTTCGAATATTTTTGGAATTTCTACATATTCTTCACTAAAATACGCGTTGTTTGTCGTTTGAAACATTAAAATCCTCCAATCCGTTCAGAAGTTATGATGTTTCAAAGATTCGCATGAAATTTCAGTGAAACATATCGACGGTATGGTCAGACATTACATTTTCTGTAAGGAATTTTTTTCTCTAAAGTGCGTAGAAATTCCGGCCTATGTCTAATGACAAAAAGTGATTGTAATTGACCCCCGCAGCCGAAAATAATTTTTTTACAACGATTTGAAATTTTTCAATTTTGCCCCAAAATTTGCCCACATACTGAATTTTTTTCTCGAAAATGGATAGGATTTTAGGGGTATGTCTAATCACCAAAAATGATTGTAATTGATCCCCACAACCGAAAATAATTTTTTCAGAATAATTAAAAATTTTTTAATAACTTTTTAACGAAGCCTCGATCAACAAATCGATATTCTTAACTTTTGTCTTATTTTGGCCTCCAGAATCCTCCATTAAAATTTTTCCCAGGTGTGATCGAACATATAACACTCTATAAGACTCGATGACGAGCGAGAACAAGTCTAAATAATTCTCCCTCATATCTTCCAGGAAGATTTTATTAAAATTGGAGTTTTCCAAAACACTCGCCAAGAATTGAAGGGATCTCGAGGGGGCGGATAATTTAACAAAAAGTTGTTTCCCTTGCCAGTTACAGCCAGCAAGTTTATTTAAAGAGACCGGTTCGCCAAGGTTTATATTCTCGACCCCGCGTTTTGTCTATAATTCCTCGGCTTTTTACCGGCCCCGTTGCCTGCGTTTGAAAGCTTTTCACGGTTAAGCTCGCCCCCCCCTCCCCCCAGGTGCGGGGGGAAACTATATACACGCGCGCGCGGAAAGAAAGAAGTCGAGAGAGAAGTTTTATGCATAAATTAATTCGGGAAACAATACCGGCGGTCAATTACAAATTGAACGGACGTTTCAGGGCGCTTTCGCTCAACCGGGAAAACGGGAAAAAATTTCCTTCCGCCCGCACAAAGAAAATTACGGGCTAAACCCTCGAGTAAATCGGAACGAGACTTTTACTACTCTTTTCGGTCGTTATTCTTTCTTCCGAACGCCTCCGTAGACGTTGCGGCGAATAAAAGGCTGAACAATATTATTTTATCCCAAGTTACCGGTTCTGGAAAATTGCTATCAATTAAGTTTCATTTGAGATCGATCGCTGTCGCGAATTCTTTTGAACTGCCCGGAATTTTCGCTTCGTCGAACCTCGTGGAAGAATATTATTTCGTCCCTGATTACCGTTTCTGGAAAATTGCAATTAATTAAGTTTCACTTGAGATCGATAGCTGTCGCGAATTCTTTTAATTCGTCTGGAATTTTTTCGTGGAAAATCGTAATAAATTAAGTTCGACGACGTTTCCCCTCGAAACCGATCGAATGTTTTTAATCCGTAATTCTCGCGCCGTCGAGCATCGGTTGCAGGGTGAAAAAGCAACAGAAGGGGTGTCAAGAGTGGAAACCCTTTAAGCATCGTAAATACCCTAAACGGTGCGTTAAACGGTCGTCTGCTTGGTGTGTTTCAGAAGAGTCGAGGCCAGCGCGGACACCGCCTCCGACTCGTTCAGCAATCAAAGGTAACGGAATTTCAGTGGAAAGTAAAGGGAAACCGAGAACGGAGCACCGAGACGCGCGCGCGTTTCCTCTTAATTTTCACACAAAAACGAACAGGCGGACGGGGTTGGCTCGTTTGAAATCGGAACTTTTATTTTGCCTCGCCCGGAGAAAAGTTTCGCGTTGACAAACTTCGTCGCCCGGCCATTCGCGTTAAACAAACAGGAGGGAATCCTCCTCGCGAAATTATACGGTTCGTCGAGTCGCGAGACCCCGCTGTTTTCCTCGACTCGAGGAACCGTGGAAAAGCAATTTTCTAACGCGAGTCCAACCCGCTGATACTAATTACGAGCCGCGGGAAACGGACAGCCCCGATATTCGAGGCGACGGATAATTTATAGCAAACAGGAGACCCCCGGGCCGGTAAACGTCGTCTCGAAACCGGGTACGCGAGCGGAAGGATTTATGCCCCGAATGTTTAACCAAACCAGAATGCCCCGTCACGTACACTCTAATTTATAGTTATTCAAACAATAACAAAGTTTAACGTTAATCCCGGGAAAATTGTCGATTCGTCGCTGAATGCTGGAGTATCTTTCGGCCGTTATGGCGATTCCGTGTTCGCGGGAACCGCGGTCGATTCGTGAACTTATAATTGGGAGGGCACAGAACGCTGACGAAACTTTCGGTTTAATTAGAGGCATAAAAATATTGCAAAAAGTATCCTATAATAAGGAATTGTCAACGTTTAACATTGTTATCACGGAGGACTCTGTCGAGCGAAATGCAATAATAGATAACCTTCGTTTATCGCGTCGTCTCATTATAGACCGATAACGAACAATAAAAAATATTCCGCGCCCGTTCAACGTAATATTCACATTTCCCAACGAGAGGAATTATCTATAATGACGTAGTTTTTCATACGTAATTACTGTAATACTGTTAAACATTCAGTGGATACTGTATCCACGAAGAACACGCTAAACGCATCCAGAACCTTTGGACAGCAATGGATTGTGTTCGGGAGTAGAAGAGAGCAAAAGTTTAACCCTTTGCGAAGAGTGTATTTCACGGAAATATGCGTAACATTCGAAAACGAATATCCGTGCAACGAAAAGAATGTAACGCAGTTTCGATCGATCGACGATAATAAAACGCTGCGTCTAAACGGAATTATTTACCTCGCGTAACCGGGCACCGGCGGTGAAAATTGCGAGCAAATAAAAGCCGATCGACAAAAATTAACGTCGAATGTTGGCACCGTCGTTTTCCATCCCGTCGAAGCGAATCGTGAACGCGACAAAGGCGATAATTGATCAGACTCTGTTTCGCAATTTCGCTTCGATCTTCGTTTTCATTTTAATTCATCTGTTCGCCAGGGTTTACAAAAAGTCGTCGCCGAACAACAAGCTCACCCTGTATCTGGCGAGCAGAGACCTGATCGTCAGCGAGTCGAAGATCGACAAACTTCAAGGCGTGCTGTTGGTCGACCCGGACTACTTGCAAGACAAACGGGTGAGTTCACGGCCAAACTTTCGTTTTTCTTTCGCATAAGCGAGCTGAAACTCGTTCGTGGAACATCAGAAACTTCTCGATGGATTTTGCCCCGATATTTCGAATCGACAAAACTAAATTAAAGTCGGTTCCAAAGTTCCGGAGGAGCCCCCGTGGCTCGTGGCGCGCGCTCGTTATGCAAACGATCGCGTTTGACCGGGAAACTTCAACGCCATTTACATCTGATTTGTCCCGAACGGGTATCATCGTCGAGGCATCGGATAATTGCCGGCAAGATTTAATGGAGAATCTATGGGGAAACGGGTCGAAACGCTAACGAACGCGCGCCGCAATTATTCCGTCCCCGTGTTTACTAATTAACGGTGGGGCGTGTGTTGCAGGTGTACGGGCAAATTACGTTGACTTTTCGCTACGGGAGGGAGGACGAGGAAGTAATGGGTTTGAAATTCTGTAACGAGGCGGTCATGTGTCTGGCGCAATTGTATCCGCCGTACTCCGGGACCGATCACCAGGAAACTACGCTCCTGCAGGTCTGTAACCCCCCCCAATTAAACGTTTCGCGCCTAAAAATCGATCGCGAAACGGGTTATCTTTCGCTCCAAGACGAATCCAACCGAAATGGAACTGGATTTCTCTGACAAAGATGGAAATTGCGGTGTAAAGTTTCCTTGTATGGTGTTGATCGGTTACATGGAACATATTGGCGGAATAACGAGAAAGGACTTCATGCTTCGTTTAATTTTCACGCAGTAGCGGAACGTATACTATTTGATTAGCCAACTTTAATTGTTTCTCGCGAAGCTTTGCGTAACTCCTGACAGCATATTCGACTCCTCTGGGGTTTAAAAATGAATACTAAACCAGGCACTGTCTACCATACGCAATCCAACCGTCGAGATCTTCGTGGATCGCGCGAACAGTTGTTCGTTCTTTTTGATTTGTTTTTACACATAGAGTCCTCACCTGTATTATTTTGATTAATTTTTGTTGCGCTTCGACCCAGTTTCGATTCGCGAACAAACGGTGGTCGAAAAAACACTGTGCAAACAAAATATACCAAACTAGCGAAAATATTTTTTTCTCTAGGAAACCGGACTCTGTGGTATACATTTTGCATCAATTTCTATACGATAGTTGTAACACCATATAAGAAATTATATCTCGTGTACAGCCTATTCTAAGTTAATAGAGAAACTAGTCTCTGTGCAATATCAAGCGAAGGGTGTCGATCGCAAACATGGTCAGGATCCTCGACTCGTACTCGACGAAACGCTTCGCTCGAGGAGAAATCATGAACCAGTTTAGTCGACGCAAAGTCAACAGTACGCGTCCAACACTTAATTCGCGCGGCAACAGTTTACACGGAAGATCGACGCGCTCGATCAACGTTCGCGTCGAGGTTGCTGTATTAAATCGTGCACAGTGACGATTGTAAAATACGTTGGAATCTTGCTGGACGACGCGACAAGATCGATGAAAATTTAATAAAGACATCGATGGTCCACGGGACGCTGGTACGTCCGATAACAGGCGGAATTGTTTTCCCAACGCGTCGTTAAATTCCGGAAAATCGAAACAGCGTCCCGCATTACGACCGTGAAACGTGAATTTCCCATCGCCGTGGAACAAAGCGAGCACGGATTTCGCCGATTGTTCGATAAAAGTCGCGTTACACGGGCAATCGAACGCGAAAAGCTCGAAATCGAACGGAGGGATCGAACGGTGAGGAAAGTCGACCCCGGGAATCGAGACGAGAGTGTCCGGGGGTATTTTTCGATGAATTAATTAAGCTGTTCGGGGCCCGGGTATTATTCCAAGTAACGGCGCGGAAGAGCAAGTTCGTAATCAATGGTATAAGCCACTCGGGCTTAGCAATCAATTTCGTGCTCCGGTAATTAGAAACTTACGGCGCTCGGCGCCGATTGCAAATTGCGTCAGATACCGTTTGCATTGAAAAACCCCCCCATTGGCGGTGTCGAACAGTGAGATATGAATCGAACCAACGCTTAATCGCTGCTTTCGTTTCTGAGCGTTGTGGCGCCGCTTCAGAAGGCGATCCCTAGCAGGTGCTTGCGAGAAAGTCGAAAGCGTAGCCCTCTGGCGGCGAGTACGGGAAGCGTCGTCAGAGCGTCGACAATAGAATCATTATTCTACTATACGAGTAATTGAAAGAGTGTAGAGTAGAAGTTGTGGCCGTTTGAAAATTGGACCACTTTTATGGGGTTTTTCTAACTTTACGGAATTAAGGACCAAGTTTTCAAATATTTTTGGAATTTCTACATATTCTTCACTAAAATACGCGTTGTTTGCCGTTCGAAACATTAAAATCGTCCAATCCGTTCAGAAGTTATGACATTTTAAAGATACGCATCAGATTTCAAGGAAGAATTTCTGGCCTCACATTAGATTTTCGGTAAGGAATTTTTTTCTCGAAAATGCGTAGGATTTCTGGGGTATGTGTAATGACAAAAAATGACTATAATTGACCCCTGCAACTAAAAATAATTTTTCCAGTATGATTTGAAATTTTTTTTTTTCGTCGAAAACTTTCACATCTTTCCGAATTTTTTTCTCGAAAGTGCGTAGGTTTTCTGGGGTATGTGTAATGACAAAAAATGATTGTAATTAACCCCTGCAACAGAAAATAATTTTTTTAAAACGATTTGAAATTTTTCTTTTTCCCCGAAAAAATCAGGCACCTACCCCCTGTCGATTTTTCTTAAAAATTTGTTTGATACCATACGGAAATGTTGTCTAATACTTTTTTATAGGTATCCATGAGGTCTACTACCAGAATAAATTTCAATCAGATCCATTGACTATTGTAGGAGTTATGGCCGTTTGAAAAATGGGCCATTTATATGGGGGTTTTCTAACTTTACGGGGTCAAGGAACAACTTTCCGAATATTCTTGGAACTCCTACATATTCTCCACTGAAATACGCGTTGTTTGACATTTGAAACATTAAAATCCTCCAATCCGTTCAGAAGTTATGACGTTTTAAAGATTCGCATGAAATTTCAGTGAAAGATATCGACGCATAGTCAGACATTACATTTTCGTTAAGGAATTTTTTTCTCGAAAGTGCGTGAAAATTTCGACCTATCTCTAATGACAAAAAATGATTGTAATTGACCCCCACAGCTGAAAATAATTTTTTTACAATGATTTGAAATTTTTTAATTTCGACAAAAGATTTCTCACTTACTAAATTGTTTTCTCGAAAATGGATAGGATTTCGGAGCTATGTCTAATCATAAAAAATGATTGCAATTGACTCCCGCAACCGAAAATAATTTTTTCAGAATGATTTAAAATTTTTCAATAACTTTTTAACGAAGCCTCATACCTTCACGATTTTTTTTCTCGAAAACAGATAGGAATTCGGGGCTATGTCTATTGATTGCAAATTGCATCAGCTACCGTGTCGAACCGTGAGATACGAATGGAACAAACGCGTAATCGCTGCTTTCGTTTCTGAGCGTTGTAGCTGGCGCTTGCGAGAAAGACAAGAGCGTAGCCATCTAGCGACGAGTACAGAAAGTGTCGTCACAACGTCTACAGTAGAATCTCCATTATTCTACTGTAGGAATAATTGAAAGAGTGCGCTGCTGAGCACAGTCGCGTACTCAAAACGAAATAAAGCCAACGTCGAATAGAAAATCCCCAAGTACTCGGGGATTCCGTCAACGAACGCTCACCGAATAAAGGCTACAGTTCGTAGGGACTTTTTCGCGATACGTAAATAACACCCGGATCTCGCTTTGTGCGTAGCGCGAATAATAGGGGAGAAATACGAGATCCATTTTTCTTCGCGCGCCTCATTAGGTTGCATCCGTATCGAATGCAAGCTCGTTTTCGCAACACCCAGGGCTTCGAATGTCAAGATCTGCTCGCGACGGTCCCTTTCACAGTTCGCTCTGTTGAATATTTTCAAATCATCCGTAAATAACAGAGCTCCGCCGTTTCAATGGAATTAGAATATCCGGATGCACGGAACATAATGGCCCGCGTAGATCGATTACGTTCTATATCAAATTCACAGCCCGAATTAACACCTTCGACGGTTTCGCGTTTAACACCGAGCGACTAACGACAAAGACTGCCTCGAAGTCGATGGGAACAATATGCACCTTGGCTCCTTGTCTCCGATGAATTCTCGCTACCAAGTTTCCGAACGAGGTCAGCTTGTTTCGGACAGAACTATGCTGCTATTCGTGTATCGCGTTATTGAAAGTCCCTGGTCGAGATATCTGGGTGCATTGATTAGTAAAATTGGTCTGTAGTTTATTTACAACGCTCGAGGTCCACTTGAAGCTACCGAAAGTGGTCAAAATGATTGGTAATTTGGATTTTTGTTTGCGTTTATTCAAGTATCGTTTTGATTCTTTCGGTGCAAATAAATACACCATAATCGTCGATAGTTCTAGGGTTAATTTACCGTGGATACGCCTCGTGGTAAAGGGAATTGGTTCGAAGGTTGCAAGTACTCCAAGTTTACGAGGATCGCCGAGAAACATAGGCTACAGTTTTCACCGAGTCGTAACTAAAATTCACCGTCATAAACCCGGATGTCCGGTTTCCCAACGTTCGATCGACAGCAGAACCGACGCTTCAGGCCGTTGCTTTATCACGAGTCGTAAAAGGAGATGCAAATCGTAGAACGCGGCGCCTCTGCCAATTTATTGCGCGGAGCAGATAACTTTCTCCTTATCAACCTGGAGCCTGCGTCATCGCGGAAGATCTATCGACAACCGGGACCGAGGGGGCAAAGTTTCGACGACGATTGACAGAAGGCGGGCCAACCGAAGGTTGAAAGGGCGACATAACGTTCGCGTAGGCGCGAGACAATGGCTCCTCTCGAAGCTCTCGATCGCCAGAACGGTGGCTAGAAATACACTTTGAGCTAAAAAAAAATTAAATGAACCTTGTAACGACGATACGGGAAGACGATCGTCCAACGAGGGAATAAAATTGGCGGTAATGGGCGAAACGGATCATCGAAAAGGCTAATGTCGACAGCGACGAGCGGGATTAGGATTATGTGGCGCGTATCAATTTCGTTTCCGTGCCGGGGTAATAACACGCTCGGCTCGTTAGACTGGTCAGATAACCGTGGAAGGTTTAAACGAACAAGGCGTTAAGGGATCTGATAGATCGTTGATCCGCTCGGAAATGAACCGTTAAGCTTATGGAGCACGAGGCTCGCGTTATATGGGTCGTAAGCCTTGTAACTGATACGCGCGACGTCACCGAACAACGTGCAACCGACCGTTCGCGAGCACCACCCCTCCATCGTCGCCCCCAAGAATCCATACGACGGGGGAGAGCGTTTCCGAGAGGTTAACTTCACGAAACTCTCGCCATGAATTTCGAGTACCAAAAGGACGGGGAACAGAAGCTACTCTTTCACGATGCGATTTAGCTTATGGCAGACACCGCGAGGGGAGGGACCTTTTTAACGACTCGAATCCGTAGTCAACCCCGGTGAATAAAACGGTCCCGCGGGGGCGATGGAAAGTGAAACGG